GGAGATACGCGATCCGTTTGCAGCGAACAGCGACAGAGTGAAGACTCAATCCAGTTAGTGTACGTGTGACTCTATTAGTTGTTTGGTTTTTGCGCCTTTTTAGTTCGTAGGCAAGGACATTTGTTCCGTTCATGTAGATTTATTCCCTGGGTATAGCGCTTAAGGCTGCGTGCGATGGCCGTAGCGGCAGTTACTGCCGCTGACGTTAGAAGTCATAACTTCGACAAACTTTAACGCGACTTGCCCATCAAAGCTTTTGTGCGTCGTAACTCTCCACCGACAACAATAATGCTATTAGCGTCGGCCTATTTGTGCCATAGAAGACAGAACACATACAACAGTCCTCCTATAAGCTTAAATGTTCACAGGCATTATATGTACTCCCTTTCAAAACGTCAACAGTCACTGATACCACAACAAACGTATTTGTGTATAATTTCATACAGGAAAAGGAGTAACGAATAATAGCAACGAAAGGTAACAGCGACACGCGATTGTGTTGTGTACATTTACGCTGTTATACCTATTTGATCAAATTGATTGGCTCGTTGTCAAAGGTCTGTTTGATGCTGAAACAAGAAAAAATAAACGAGAGAAAAATTGACTTCGCGTAGCAAAACATAACAATTGGAAGATACGATATAACAAGGTTGTCGTAATAAAAATTCCGTACCGCTACATTCTCGATGACCGGCATCGCAAATAGTTCGAGACGTTCTATCGCCTTTCGTGGACTGGCGAGTTCTGAAGTCTTTCAACAACTTCATGAAAAAACAGCAGCAACAGCGGTGCCGTGTCAGAGTTCGTAGGTCCTTTGCCTCGCAGTATTTTTACTAGAAAATGCAGTTTCGAACTACGAGTAAATAGTCCTAGGTCAACAGTTGACAGATGCCGAACTTCTGCTATGAAGGAAAACGAAGATTGGCGGCACTGGAAATCTATATTTAGGTATGTTGTGTAATCCAGTCACATTCGGCCCCGCCTAATTATGTTCAATTACTTCGTCACCTGACCAAGACAAACAGTATCAGACGTAAGAGCGGCGGTCCGATAATGGCTCGTTCGCGGGGATGACCGGTTATTTGGGTGACGGTCTGTGTGTATATAAGCTGTACGTATAGGAATCGATAGAAACAAGGTGTCAGTACTAAATATAGACAACTAATTTTGATCGTGTATGAACTTAATGTTGACGACCCGGTGTTGAGAGCTTCGCTTGTGGGTTGTGAAAGTTTACTCTAAGAACACATTCGTATGCTTACTCGAAAAAATTAAAGGGTTACTTTAGATATAATATAAAACTTGGTTAGAAATGAAACGATCAATCAAATAGAAGCAAACTCTGAACCAACTAAGTCTAAACAGTAAATATTAAGTAATTAAACGGTTAAATCTATTTCTGGTCGATTTAATAGCCACACACAGCGATCCGGCCCTGTCCGACGAATATCTCAATCTTCGACTGCGCTTCCACAAGAATAGCATTCCATTAAACGTAAATAAATCAAAAGCTTTTTAGAAAAAAAAAACCTTTTACCCACATGGATAACGGCCAGTATCGTGGGACAAAAGGGCTCCTTTACTGCGCATGAACCTTGCCCTTGGGTTAATATAGATGTTATGCCAGCGCTTATTTTAGACTCCTGATGCCCTGTGTGCTTTTGGTCTTTTTTCATCATTTTTCCTAGACGATTCATGTTTGCCCTTCCATTCTCTTCTAGTTACAGCGGATTCCTTTAACGTTACACGAATGCAGGTCTCTTCAACCAGCAGTAGCTTTAGCATCTTACGGGTAAAACGATTGCACAAGATCATTATTCAGCTTCACCTGTTTGTTTGAAAGCACAAACAGCATTTATGGGACAATTGCACCTCTGTGCAGTTCTCAAAAAAAGCTGGCAGAAATTCTAAGCCAGAAAGCGAAGGAAAAAGTTCTTGCTTAGCTAAGATTACGAAGCAATCGAGGAAAACGGCCGATTCAACGCGAAGTGGAAGTTAGAAACAGAAATGTAAGTTGTTAGACAGCATGAGAGTATCCTGGGGTACGAAAGAGGCCGTACTTGGTTCTAGTCGGGCTCTGCTAATGTACGAGTTTATACGATCCAAATTTCTATTGCCAATGGCGCTCTATGACGTGCACATAATAATAAATTAAACCTAATAAAAGTCGCTTCAAAAGCTTGATGAATATAGGAATGATATACATGCGCTCTAATGAACTTTATAGAAAAAAAAAATGTTTCCTAGGACAATTGTATTATACTATTGCACTAACGTATACGTTATCTGAAGCAACGATAATCATATGGAGGAATAACCCCTACCGAATGTACGCACACCCCGTCAGCCGTGCGCCTATTGATGTACTTTCTACTGACGAGAACGCATTCCCACAGTCGCCGTCCTATCCTGGCATTGTTTATTTCAAACATGCTATCCCGATATTTAAATACACAAGAGAGCCTATTTCGATTTTCTTTTCGTCGAGCTTACCCAGTAAAAGTTTGTTTGACTTCGATTGTTTGTACCGGTGATATTATAGTTTGGGAAGCAACGTTAGCTGGCAGCAGCGCTTTCAGCAAGAAGAACTGCACTCTTTTAACCGAAGTCACATATACCATTGTATACGGACAGACAGGCGCATCATCTAATACCATTGTACATTATGTATATGGTAAAATTATGTATATGGTATAGTGTTTGTGTGCCTGTACTGGGAAAATGAATGTACATAGGTTATGTTGGTTTGGTGGTTAATTTGGTGGCGGGTGGTTAATTTGCAGCTCTTATTGCGGTGTATGCGAAACGCGCTATACAGTTATGTAATACTTGGGCCTAGGTAGAGGCTATTTAAGGGTGAACCAGTAAGAAATGAGACATTTACAACATGTGGGTGGATTTGCTGGGTCGTTTATAGAGTGCTTGAACTGAAGGGCTATCGAATTATATGGGCCAACTGCGGAAAATGCTACTGAAGAGCAGGTTTTTTTAAAAAAATAGCATCGACAGATCTAAAATCAGAATTTGCCGTTGACCAAAATACGAGAGGAGGTACAACTTTACCATAGCTTAGAATTTTTATATGATATATTGTTTAGCCGACAGAGGGACACACGCAACGGGCCTGTACCTTCGTTACTTATCAGCGTGGGATTTTCTGTTCTAAGCGCACAAGCTAAGATCGAGCGAGGCCCTTGGACATGATTTAGCTGATAGCAACATGTTCAACCATTTCTGTTCAGGAACTCGATGAGGCAAGCATTCGACCTTTCAACCATTTTCCAGGCTGCTGATCATGATGTACCTGAGCAAAGCGGGTGGTGGACAACCGTTCCGATTAGGGAGTAGCATGCACACTCAGACATGCGCATGCAAGTACGCCAATTCGGCGGAATAACCTCTGCCGGCTAGCTAAAAAAAGCGACCATCGTTGTGGATGTCAATTATCAGCGTTGAATTACCCAGTGCATGCAAGGGACTGGGTCAGTCTACTGGAATTTGCTAGAATGCCGCCGAAAGCAACTCTTAGCAAGAATAAGCATAGGGCTGTTTTCTCAGCAGTTCCTCAGCAACGCGAATAGATTATAGATACCATAATGACATTCGGTGATGTAGAATGAACGAACAAAGAAATCGACTGACCTAGCGACCAACATTTAGGGGCAAATCGGTGTGTTTGTATGACGCAAGCAACAGTCTCTGCCTGCAGCACGTGTCCTGGAATGGATACTAGGAAAGACAGAGTGGCAGCTTGCAAACAGCTAATGAGCCTAAAGGAAAGAGTACAGAGATGGTAGACGAAGTCTTGTTGGCAGAAGAATTCGAGTTTGTGGGAAACAACCACAGAGGGGGACATGGGGCGGTACAGAGGCGAGGCCCTGAAAAAGCTGCTACCTTCAGACGAGGGAGGCTAAACTAAAATATCCTCTTGGCTGAGGGCAGGCCAGACTCAGATGAGGGCAGGTATAGATTGGCATTAGGGACATGTAAAGACCTTCACGTTAGTATGTAGCGGGGCTCTGGAAACGAGCTCATCGAAGAACCTTCCAGCTGTTAGATGGGAAACCACGGCAAAGTGCGTACAAATATTGTATACGAGAGGGTGGCCATGATGCTAAGCGTTCCATCCGCAGCCAATGTGGGGGTCTAAAACACCTCCAATGCGACAAGTGGAAAGCAGTCTAAGAATAATTGCTAAATAAACATTATGTGTGCGTGTGTTCGGCTTATTCTTAGGCTGCTGCTACTGCTATGCAATATAATTTGCTGTAGTACTCTTACGGGCATTTGGGATATAGATATATGTGTTATTATCACGAGTATTATTTTCAGTTTTTTCCCGATTATGAATTGCCAATATGGCCTGACACAATGCGGTAGATTCATGGGACAGTCGATGAATTATGATCCCCAGCTATCCTTTTCTTTCGTCATAAGCTAATGCCTTACTTGTCTTTTTAAATCTTTTGTGGGCTCCCGTACACACGGTGGTTGCCAATTTTCAGTCTAGAGATTATACCCGGTAACGGCTGAAGTTTTGTAAAGATTAGGTTATTCAATGTATTTTTACTCGTGTTGTTGGTTTTTAACTAAATATTGTGCCTATAGTAATCCACAATTGAATGCTGACCATGTCTTAAAGGTGAGCGAGATGTGAAAATGCAGGCAGTGAAGAGCGGCTTAGTGGTTGATTTGTCTCTGTAAGTCAACTGACGCCGTTTATTTCGACTTCGGAAGGTTGAACTTGGACTTTCATATATAACTCAAATATATGGTAGCAAATTGTCCAATTTTCCCTTATTCTATATTTTTCCCAAAGCGCGAGGAAAGCTGTTCGTTTAAGATTAGGAAAAATATTAACATTATCCATAAGAGAGAGAGAGAGAGGGATCTGCATTAGCAATTAGGGATACGTAACCACAGACGTAATAGAAACCTATAGAAGCATTTATATCGCATGGCTAAGCTGATTGAGGCTTAAGCCCTAATATGATACTTACGTAAGGTGTTGATGCGAAGTTTTGGTTGAATGTTGTCTTGCCACGCGGCCTCATTCCGAAGGACCTGTGCTACAAAGAACAGCAGTAAAATTGAATATGAACTGGTCCTTGATGGGCACGACGGCCGTGTCGTTGTTATCGCTGCTGTCCGATCCATGGTATTCCGAGCTGCACTTTGAGGAAGAATGCAAGATATCCTTCCTGTTCTCGTTAACACGGGGAAAACGGATCTCTGCAGAGTTCTTGCTTTGAAGTGGTCACATTAGCCGGATGACGTCTCATTCGAAGTACCGTTTACCTTCGCTCAGACATCCGCCTGCCGGATTTCGCAACTCCACCCGTTCAAGTCGCAGTGTGGCCATATCTCTGAAATCAGAGGACATAACAGAAAACAAGGTGAGGATTAATTACCTACACTAAATATTGTAATATTGTATGTATACCATCGATTAGACGTTGTGGCTTTAGCGCGATTACATCGATACATATCCTTTACGAACTCATGATTCTTATTGATCTTACAAATAAGTTCCATGGAATGAAATACAAAGCAACTTTATATGTTCTGAGTTGGATAATCTACCGACATAACAACTTTAGAAACGGTTTCAAATCAAAAGCAGAAAGGGCACTATTTGTTATCAAGCTGAATCGATGCGAGAACTAATTCCGTGTGCTTCATGGCTTTAGAGGCTTTGGAACCGTTTAGAAATGAATCCTTGAGCCAGGAACTTCCCTAGCTTCGCAGAGCCAAGCGCATAACGCAGCGAATGCAATTTACTTTCTATATCTCATTTTCATGTTCATGCAGTATAACCTGGCAACATAGAACCTTAAACTTTCTATATTGTTACCAACGCTTGAGCAAATCATCTAGCGCGGGGAATGCTTATTTTACAAAGCAATTTGCCCCTCGTTTCCAGGTGTGCTTCGTAGACCCTAAACAACACTTCAAGAGCCCAGAAACTACACAAGAGTCATAGTTCTAGTCCTGCTTCTACCAAAAATCGCCAGAAGTCGACTTTGTAACAAGTACCTCATCAACTTTCTGGACACGTGGCGGTGAACAGTGGCGACGGCAGCGCCAACGGGGGCGATGGTGATAAGGATGGCTCATTACGAGAGGCTTAGTACAGCACAGCCGTTATAAGATAAAAAAAACGGACATGACTTTTTCTTCTTTTGATGATAACTGACTTCTGGTCAACAACAGCCACTCTATAGCTCTAAGCTTATCGGAGCAGCCTGAGGGTAACAGAGGTGTAGAATCCTTAAACATCTTTCGTGAATCTCTCTTAGTCAACGACAGCTGGGTGCTAGGTAGAGGTCTAGCTTGGCTTAGGTTAAATTCTGAATATTCATGAGGAGTACCGCTGGCTCAGGCGATGGACGTAGTTGTTCTGTGAGGTCTGACTGTCTCTCCGTGTCCGTATGTGTGCTCGTCCTAGACAGAACACGCATATACTATGGTTACGCGGCTAGGAGACATACGTGTTAAGTGTTGAAATCAAAACGAGCAAAGTGATGTCTGCACGTGACTTGACCCAGAAAAGGCTTTGCACACATCTGTCAGGGTACCACTTTCCAAAGGCGGGAGAAAGAAAGAGGCCATGGGGGCGATAGAGCCCCGTCATTTTCTCGTGCCGCCTCGACGCTGTCTGATTCGTTGGGCTGATTTCCCTGAGCGATGCATATGTACTGCTGGCTGGAACCACCACGTCCATTAGAAGCTACACAAGGCTATCGCTATGCGTCACTTACTCAATCGTTGGGCCTTCCTTGAAAGGGACAGCAACAATGTAGAAAAACCAAGGCAGTTAAAAAAAAACAAAAATATTTTTGTCTTTCTGCTAAAGCTAACTTGGTTATTCTCTCATATAACACAGGCTGCAATCTGTACACAGGTTCGGTAGTGTTAGATGACATTGTCTATCCGCTCTTCGACACTTCGGCCTGCCATATGTGCAAGTATGGTGCAGGTATTTGGTAGTTTTTGCTGTCTGTAGCACAGCTTTACTGCACACGAGGCTGTAGACTTCGAGCCCTTGATAAGCTTCGCCTGGTGAGTGGAGCCTGATCTATGAGGCACTCTTATTGTCTTAAAAGCAAGACATCATGCGGCTAAGGCCGCTCCCAGTTATTGGGTGTTGTCAGAAATCTGAGTGCTGCTTGAATAAGCTCACATGCCCCGTTGACTGCCGGTGCTACCACTACAAGGTACACTAAAGTACTTCGCGATATCGCATAGGTTAGCTAGTAGTCCCCTTCTGGCAATAGAGAACATAACCGTTGTTGTTACTTCTTAAGCTTGGTCTGCATTTCACTAACTCCCATGAAACGTCCGTTTGTTTCATATTTTTTTTCCAATTATTCGCACGTCTCACATAGGTCATCCATAATAGTAAAAAATATACCGAAACTCAAATAAAACGGAACACGAAAGAATCGTGCACGAAGTACGAGTCAAGGAATTGACTTTAGACATATGAGTAAACAGACAAACAGACCTTTTTCATTTATATCGTACGTGCAAATATTTTGGCAACGCAGGCAAATTCGGGAATCTAAATGGTTCTCGTATCAAGCCATAATTGTTGTCCTCCGATTTCCACTACACTCGTTACTCTACTCTGACTTGATACACCATCGCTGGTTTAGAAACTCCGTTTCTCCGGAGACCCACAATTTATCTCTGTCGCCCAACCCGACGCAGGCGTGAGCGAAGTTGTTCGACCCAGAGTTAGAAAGAAAAAGAACGTACGGGACGTATTTAATTCCATCGGCTTACCTGTCTCTTTGAAGGCTCCGCTGGGTTTCGAGTCCCAACCCTTTTTCCCTTATGTCTGTCTCGTCCTTTGTCGCCCATTGTCGTTCTCAACGAGCTAGTGAACAAGAGATTGGCTCAAAGTAGCTGAACTGGCTCTGGTCTGCACCACATCATCACTGTGCTGCTCATGCCTTAGGGAATAGTTAGCAGGCAAACATCAACGTTCACACACATACAGCCAGATCATACTCTCTGCTATTCTCGGTGGTTTCTGGATTTACAAGAATCTAGATAGCTCAGGTTCGAAGCCGGACATACGCACACTTCATTTTGTGTTGGCAGGAGTCAGCCGTCTCAGGGGATGCTTAACTATGAATATGAACTCAAAAATCCATATGAGATTTATAAAACCGTATGCGCCAATAGTGGTGGATCTTGTTAGTTTTAGACCAAACGAATGCAGTTACTACGTATTTGCATTTCACTGGGTACTAACGGTACGCGCTCGGTTTGTGAGGAAAAAAAAAGCACAAGAAACAGAATGAGCGATGCGGATATCATTCCTATATTGCTTCAAACTTATATTGTATAGATGTTACGTGCGAGAAAGAACAGTCTCAAATATGGTGGAAAAAAAACCGGTGAACGTTCTTTTTTTTTATTTATAAAATGCTAATGGTGCACTCGAGCGTAGATAAGCAGCGCAATCAACTAGGTGTTTCCCACTTCCCTCGTTCTTTACGTTCTCAGAAACAGCAGCGTTGTCCCTGAGAAATTTAGGACTGGGCGAGGGGGTGGGGTGGGGGGAGCCATGGTACAGACATATCGTCACTGTCGTGCGTAGGTGACCGGCGTCGATATTCCGAACAGAGGCTGTGCCTGCAAAAACGAATGGCTCCCTAGCCAGACAGACGGGGGGCCGGAATGATCGAATTACAAAAATAGCGTGACCGTACATCGAAGCTTTAGATTACGCTTATCCTTTCGACGCGTAACCGAAGCACATGTAAATTACGTGTTTAAAAATATCTTCATTCACCTGTACTTTGTTGTACTACAACAGGCTATTATCAATCACCTTTTCTCATGGTGGCCGAGACTTTTGCACACACAGGCCAAGTGCACAATATCCCACTATCAGAGAAAACATACAGAACTATTTAGCATAGTTTGCGCTCATATTGATTATACGAGTATTGTTAAATTCATAGAACCTATTTGCCAGATGTTCGAAAGATAGCGCTAGGGGGCAACGAACAGGATGGTATCGATCACAATTTACACTGCGTCCGGAGCATATCCATGTATCGAAGGGTCCTGAAGACCTGCTTTCTTGCAAACTATATGGTGGAACCTATGCACGTAAAGCAACTAATGACATGCCTTTTGAACCGGCTCTTCATTTTTAACCCGTTGTTCTGACCGCATCCAACGCAAAGAAATGTTTATCAATTTTCGCAGATCTCCGCGCCCAGTTTCTGAGGTTAGTCTCAAGGGCTTTCGTTTCTGCGAGCTCGAAGTAAGGGCGGTCGCGAGTTGGCTAGAACGTACATAAGACGATTCTGGTTCACGATGTGTAGCCTTATTCTGTTGTCCTCGTGAGTAGGCCCATGTTTGATGTTCGTAATCCTTCTAACTCGCACCAACAGTCGCTTATGTCTAATTTCTATTTGGTTTTTTTCAATGCAGCATGTAATAGCAGCCATTAGCTCCAAAAGAAATAATACTATTGCTAGTAGTAGTAGTAGTAGTAGTAGTTATACGTTTTCATGCATCCGTACCTCGTGCTGCGTAACAGGGTAGCTGCCAACTAGTTAGCTGGCTGGCTGGCTGTAGATAGCGCAACGTAAGAAGCATAACAAGAGAACAAAGTGGCCCATATTGGAACCTTGGCGAGGAAGTCAAGAGATCGTCTTCGAATCTTTCGAATGGAAACTGTGCAAGAAAATCATCTCTATTGTGACACAATTACGTCTAGTTCATAAAATAAAACGTCGTCGTATATTTTGTATTTACTTATTGGGACAAGTTATTGTAACGACAATACAAAACTTACGGTGTAAAATGTCCTGAACAGCCTGACGCTGTTTTTGTCGATTTTTTTGGCGAGAGCTTGAGAGTTATCAAAACTACTTTAATTACGAGGCACAAATAGAGTGCTTACCTTTCTAACAATCGGATTACAACTGGTTCCTATTTCAAATCGGGTAAAACGAATCTAAACAGGTCACGTGTGGCCTAACGCACGCCCCTTTACCACGCATTAATTCACTAGTTCACTGGATAAGGTCGTATGACATTTACGAGCCGATATATCAATTTGGTCTATATATTTTCACGCCCATTAGCTCGTATGCCACACTTTATATGTCGACAATTTGCATGAATATAGTATGTGCCCTTTAAGTAGATGTTTTAGATAAGGAATTCGTTGTCGTTCATGAAGAATTAATTAAAATGAGACCATTTCCTTTCTAAACTTTCGTGCAACGTATGCCCGTCACCTATCAAATATGTATAACCTCTATAAATTGGCCTTTTTTTTGTCATAAAATAATAATCATACCCGTTAACGTTAAGAAATGTCAACGCGTATAGC